TTGGAACTCGTATTTCGGTGGTTTGATGGTTTTCGAAATATTTGTGTTTATTAGTTGATCGTCATTTTAGATAAAATCTCGTTTGACTTACTTACGCCTGTTACTCACAATGAAGCATAGGCCGCCCACCAGTTTTCTCCAACCAACTCTGTCCTGGGCTTCCCTCTCCAGTTCTGGCCAATGTTTATTCATTCCTCTCATATCTTTCTCTATTTCTCGGCGTAGTGTGTTCCTTGGCCTTCCTCTTTTCCTTTTACCTTGAGGGTTCCATGTGAGGGCTTGTCTCGTGACGCAGTTGGGTGCTTTTCGTAGTGTGTGTCCTATCCAATTCCACCGCCTCTTCCTGATTTCCTCCTCCATTGGAATCTGACTTGTCCTCTCCCACAGTTCGTTGTTGCTGATGGTGTCTGGCCAACGAATACGAAGTATTTTGCGTAGACAGCTGTTAATAAACACTTGTATCTTCTGGATGATGGCTTTGGTAGTTCTCCAAGTTTCCGCTCCATACAGTAGAACTGTCTTGACATTTGTATTGAAAATCCTGATTTTAGTTTTGTTTGAAAGTTGTTTGGAGTTCCAGATATTTTTCAATTGTAGAAATGCAGCCCTCGCTTTGCCGATCCGCGCCCTCACATCTGCATCCGATCCACCTTTCTCGTCGATGATGCTGCCCAGATATGTAAACGCTTCAAAGTCCTCCAAGGCATCTCCATCAAGAGTGATTTGGTTGGTGCATGCTGTGTTGCATCGTAGAATTTCGCTTTTCCCTTTATGTATGTTGAGACCTACTGCTGCAGAAGCTGCTGCTACACTGGTCGTCTTCTCTTGCATTTGTTGTTGAGTGTGCGATGGAAGAGCCAGGTTATCTGCGAAGTCCAGATCGTCCAGCTGCGTCCTAACTGTCCAGTTGATACCGTGCTTCCCTCCAGATGTTGATGTTTTCATAATCCAGTCGATGACCAGGAGAAAGAGAAAGGGTGAGAGTAAGCAACCTTGCTTGACAGCGGTCTTCACCTCGAAAGAGTCTGTCAGCTGTCCCTCGTGTACGATTTTGCAGTTGAATCCATCATAAGAATTCCGTATGATGTTGACTATTTTCTCAGGCACACCGTAGTGTCGAAGAAGCCTCCACAGTGTTTTCCAATCCACGCTATCGAATGCCTTCTCGTAGTCGATGAAGTTGATGTAGAGTGGTGAGTTCCATTCAATTGATTGTTCCACAATGATCCGTAATGTAGCAATTCGGTCAGTCCACGATGGATCCTTACGAAATCCAGCCTGTTGACCTCGAAGTTGGACGTCTACGAAGTCCTTCATTCTGTTTAACAATACCCTGTTGAAGACTTTGCCTGGTATTGAAAGAAGAGTGATGCCTCTGTAGTTCTCACACTTGCTCAGATCGCCTTTCTTTGGTATTTTGATGAGGTATCCTTCTTTCCAATCTGATGGTACTTGTTCCTCATCCCAAATCTTCTTGAAGAGGATGTAAAATATTTTCGCAGTTACTTCTACATCTGCTTTCATTGCCTCTGCTGGAATGTTGTCTGGTCCTGCTGCTTTGCCGCTCTTGATTTGTCTGATGGCCATATTGATCTCCCCAGTTGTAGGTGCGCCAATATTAATCGAGAGGTCTTTGGAGGCTGCTTCGATGTTGGGTGGGTTCAGTGGAGCTGGTCAATTCAATAGTTCCTTAAAGTGCTCTACCCACCTATTTCGCTGTTGTTCAGTGTTGCTGATTACTTTCCCTTCCTTGCTTTTCACTGGTCGTTCTGGTTTAAGATAGTTTCCGGCCAGCTTCTTTGTTGTTTCGTACAATTGTCTCATGTTTCCTTCTATTGCAGCCTTTTCCGCCGTCATTGCTAGATCTTTCACATATTTTCGTATGTCAGCTCTGATGCTCTTCTTCACTTCCCTGTTTGCTTCTGTATACTCGGCTTGCGCCTTAACTTTCTCTGCTCTTGTTCGGCTGACATTCACTGCTGCCTTCTTATTCCTCCTTTCTTCAATTTTTTCAAGAGTACCAACAGAGATCCATTCCTTGTGATGGTGCTTCTTGCGACCAAGGACCTCCTGACATGTTGAAGTGATTGCCTCCTTAATCCCTTTGCAATTGTACTCCAATGTTGCTTCCTCTTGTTGCTTTCTTCTGATCACTTTAAGTCGGCCGTCATATTCAGATCACTTATGTGTTCCTTAAAAGGATCTACCCAGTTTGCTTTTTCAGTTGGAACACTCCAGGCTGAGATAAAAATCACTCCTGGTATACGTAGAGCAGTTCCACAAACCAACTCTGAAGGGTAACATCCTATAACTTGTTTAATTGTCGAAATTTAACACCATGTGACTAATGGAAGCTTGTTGGCCCAATCACTGTCGGTAATGACAGTTGCAAGGGAGGCTTTATTAGCAGCTACACGTAGCTGCTACAATGGATTTAAGGTTGAATAAGATGTTTATTAACACAACTACTAAACTAGCCATCCAGAACCAGTTGCATATGCTGAAACCTTGAGGAAGGAACAGATCTGAAAGAAGAAAGATCATTAGCCCATTCACAATTTGAAGATTAGGTGATATGGAAGCATACATGGTCTGTGACACTATTAGTCAAAGTAGATGACAGCATTCGGAAACAAGTCAGTCAAGTCAACAACAACATAGAACTTCGTAGGTACGTACATCAGTTCAAGTTGCCACACCACATTAGCACAGAGATGCAATTGTCAATTCAGCTCCCTATTATCTAAAGGAACATGTCTCTGAGCCCGTATAGCTTGGTTGGGTCGTTACTATATGCAAGCTCGGAACATATAAGGTGAAACCCACGTGATTAGAATATTTTAATCTCCCATCTAACATATTTAGCTAATTAGTGGTTGCATACACTTAGATAGACAATATAAAAATTTGCAATACTATTCTTTTATTATATTCAGACTAGGAGGAATCAGTGATTGTTGTTTTCTGAGTTAAACAGATTACTTTGAATACCCTTCCATGGTTTCTTAAAAATAATCAAGGGAGAAAGTCATGTGTTAACCGTCTATAATTTAACTCACTACAGTATTATGCACTTCCATTTGTTTGCTGAGCTTCAACATATTTAAATTCCATACGCAACCAGAGAGGTACGAGCATTTATGAAAAGTTTCGCAAATATCTTAAACTATCCTAGTAAAACACCAGAGTTAGTAATGATCATACTTCAGGAATGATGTTTAACAGCTACATTCTAAACCTTTGAAAGTATAAATCAGTTTGGATAGCTACAATAAGCTATGCAAACAGGTGGGTTATTTTAATGCCGGTGATTACATAACATTTATTCATATTAATAATTGTGAGCACTTACCCATAAACATTTTCGCATGTGTGAAAGCTTATGTATGTTCATCTAACCATATTAGATATGTATTTTGTTCAGGATATATATATATATATATATATATATATATATATATATATATAGCTCGGTATGTGGATAGGTGTATTTGGAATACATAGTTCCCTAGCACTTTTTGTTGACTTCTCTTTGCTTGAGGTGGTCAGAAGACTTAACATTTTTTAGCATCTTCGTCAAACGGGATTGTGTCATCGGCATATTCTAAATCAACGAGTGAATTTCCTGGTAGAAGGTCAAACACTGAGAAGTCAGACGATGAAAGTGATAACTCTAAAACAGTGTTCGTGACGAAAATTTGTAGTAAATGCAAATATCTGTAGATTCATAAGGAGTGAAGAGGACTGAAACGAGCTTTATTGATGCCCCGCGCGAACTGAGGAATCGATTGTAGAGAACAGGTCTTAACCTAACCAGTTGAATTGTCACCGAATATTCTGCTCAACGTGACACTAACGACTGGCACTGTCAATGGAAGTCCGCTCACTAATGCCTCCTCAGACCGCAACCTCAGTTTAATAACGACAGAAGGTCCAGAAACTAGTCCGAACTACATAATGGGCAAAGCCATCACCAACGCTTCACTTCACTTTGTGCAAAGACAACTCGGTGCCATCACCGCCGAATCGTTCTTAACATTGTTTAGGACTTACGCACACACACACCTCGAAGTTCACAATATCGTCCCAAAACTGCTCCTTCAAACAGATATGAATCTCTTTGATCGAGTTCGGAGACGAGCAACCAAACAAGCGGTAGAGTTGAGGGAAAAATCCTACGAAAGTAGATTCTAGCACTTCGGACTATTCCCTCTGATTTGCAGGAGAATCGGAAGTAGTGGCATACAACGTATTAGGCATGCTAAATTATCCCAACATGAGCATCTTTTCGAAGCATCACCAGCTCACCCCTCGAGGAAATCCTCGTAAAATTGCGCATCAAAGAGTGAACACAGGTTTGTGAACATTTTTTCTCATTAGCAGCCGTTACAACGTGAAATGCTCTTCCATCCGAGGTGACCACATCCAACTCAGTGGATAGCTTCAGAGATAGACATGATAAACACGTACTCACATACGGATTATCATATCCCTGTTGGACTACCTATGCCTGATGCATGTCTTCAAACTTGTGAGTTGTTATGATTGCCATTTTCTCAGATCACTAACTTGATCTATTTAGCTTGTTGTCTATCTCGCTTATAATTTATGTTTCCTCTTCTTTCATTACTTTTTATTGGCTTAGTTCTGAAATCATCTATTTAGCATTAGACATTCTCCTTATAACTATCCACATTGAAGTTAAAGGATCTCCGGACGGGTAACAAGAAACCATACTACACTGAAACCAACGAATTCACACAAATCACGAGTCATACAAATTCATAAATAACTACTGAATGACTAGAATTATTGCAGTCAAGTGGCTTGACTACAACCGATTAGACACTATCAGATACCTGGGACCATATATGAGGAACAAAAATCGAGCGCAAAGAAATCAATTGGTTTTGTAATAGCTCGTGTAGAAGAAATGAGATATTGGAGGTTGAAAATTTTAGAGTTTTGGTGTCCTTCGTGCCAAATTCATTTCAAGGACAATGGCACTGTTCGAGTCTTATGAAAAGCAGTACGGGAATTTGACGAGTGACATAACTTTCAAACTCGGAAAAATACCTCAGTTAAAAGGTGGTATGTTTTTAGTAACTTCAATGACCTATAATTGTACAATTAATTTCATCTACTGTATCAGGTGAAAGAGCAAAAGAAGTACATGATGTTTCCGTACTTTTTGATGAGACAAGGGAGTTAATTGAACAGATGTCTCTGGAGGTTCAGGAAATGCGACCTGACATCCGATCCAAGTTTCAAAATCGTCTTGAGTGCTATCGAAAAGAACTAGAGAAACTTACAACAGAATTTGTAAGCATTTTTCTTATATTCAGATACTTAGAACATTAATCCTTCATTTAACACACTTAGTTTAATTTTGGCCTGTAATATCTTGTATGTACGTAGTCCTTATTTGGAGAGGGTTCTGTTTATACTTTTTCACAATATCCTTTTTTATTTCTTAGGGCTAGTACGCAAGTTACATTTATAAGATTCATTTTAATAATCTCTCATTTACAGTCGTTGGTTAATGAACTTCTTGTGAGTTAAACAATGGTTTATTTAGCTTGGGTCCATAAATAGAGACTCGACCATTCTAACTTTGCGGTGAATATGTGTTTCTCCCAAATTATGTGAGAATCAATCAGTGACTTTGTGTGCACCATTATAATGTTTATTAGGCATTCCTAATTACATCCCTGCAATATTAAACAAATTAAGATCACCTTATAAATCATGCGGTTTTATCGGTCCTAAGCCAGGCATATAGTATGAAAAAATACACTTTAAATTACCGAAACGCATACTGATAGAAACCTGTCCATATTCTTACACTTTTTGACAAGCTGTTAAAACTTCTGGGGTTCATATAAATGAGTAAATGGGGATTATGATGGCAGGCGAAATCGATTCCTATGTAGCCAAAATCAAGACTGTCCATTAGCTCTACCTGCAGATATGTGGTACAGCCTGTTGGTCCATAGATGAACAGTTGTGCAATTATATGGTACAGACAGTTGTATTATTTGTATGTTAAACCTACTCTCTCCATACGTATGGATTCTGAGTATTATGTGTTCTGTCATCATTACCCCATAAGAATCACCTATACCCAATGGTAACGTCATGTTCTTAGTTCTAAAGTTTTCAAATGTATGTTGACGAACAATTGTCAAAATCCTGTTTGGCCTAGTTATGTCCAACATATATCTCAGCGGTTCTGTATCGCGCATTGTTTGTGAGTGCTAGAACTGTGAGAAAAGTGATGGGTATTGAAGTTATGATGTAGCATACTATTTGGAAAATTGATTTTATCTAGTTCATGTTTACTGATTATAAAACCTTAGAGATCCTGTACTTCATTGACTTAAGACTATGAAGCATCGCTTAAAACAAACAAATAACAACCATGCTGAAGATTTCTATTATAAGCTTCAGGTAAAGGAAGATTCACCTTCCAACCGAATGAAATCTCACTTTGCTTGTCTTTACCAAAACTCCTTTTTTTGTTTTTATTTAATGATATCCTTTTCTGCCTCCTCATAATACTTTCGTTGTTTGGTAAATGTTCAAATTATTATTGCGCCATTTATTTTTCTATCATAAACCTCTTGTCATCTGTCAAATACTCATGAACTACCAGGTTTGTAGCTCTTTGTAAACTTAATAGGTCAAAGCACTTATAAGAAACAGATACAAAACCTCAGTAATGCCTCAAGATTTTACGCTGAAGATGAATTTGCTCGTATAGTTTCCCGGCTGTAGTCTCTTCCATTAATAATAATCGCTTAATCTAATACAGTACGTCTGATTACAGTAAATAATTTTCACCACATAATGTGAAAAACTTAAGCAACTTTCAAGCATATAATCTGCAACTTAATTATACTAAGCTACACTCCACTGTGTTGAGTATAAAAAAATAGGATCCTTTCAAATCATTAGTTGTATAATATGCCCGCAAAATTTCGATAAAAAAGTATCGGCTGTTTGATAATGTTGTACACCAGCGATTCTTCAAATGGTTGGGCTTTTAGATATGCTAAACTATCGTTTGATAAAACGAGTAGGTCTTATAAGTGTTGAAAGTTACCGGAGGATTAATTGTTGCCTTTTTAGTGTTATGCACTAGAATTTAACAGTTATAAACGTTGTGACATCAAATAGATAACAACCCTTGAAATTTGGTAAAATATTACAGATTGGACAGTATCAGTCTGCTCGTACTTCTTATGTGTTATCTATTTTAGTTTTTCCTGCGCCCTTCTGGCTATCTATTTTATATTCTTGTTTCTCACCTACCTATTCCCCTCACTTTGCTGCTATATTCATCATCACAAGCCAGTTAATGTTTTTCAAGACTGAAATTCATTTTTTCCGTTCATTTAAGATTGTAGTAAATTAGCCTAGTTTTATTTTGTCAAGATATATTCTGTTCAACAAAGCAACTGGCTTTAACTAAGTCTTGTTTCCATCAAAGCACACGAGACCAAATCAGTCAGAATTAAATCATTTCTACATCTACATCTGAACTAGTGATAGGGAGTGAAGTAGTCCAGCGTGTAGACCGCTTCACTTATCTTGGGAGTCTCATCAGTGCCGATGGCCTGGTGACTGACGAAATCTCAGCTCGGATACAGAAAGCTCGATTGGCTTTTGCCAACCTGCGTCACTTATGACGAAGGCGAGATATCTATTTTCTAATCGAAGGACGAGTGTACTGCTGCAGTAGTTTGCTCCGTTCCTACTATATGGACTGTGAAACATGACCAGTGAGAGTAGAAGATATTCGTAGGTTACTGGTTTTCGATCATAGGTGTCTTCGAAACATTGCTCGTATACCGTGGGACAACCGAGTAAGCAATGCTGTCGTTAGGAAACGAGTACTAGGCAAGGATGGCAGATCAATCGATAAAGTGGTGAAACTTCACCAGTTGAGGTGGTTGGGACATGTGTTGCGTATGCCGAACCACCGACTGCCTCGACGAACTTTGTTTTGTAGTGTAGGAGTAAGTTGGAAGAAAGTTAGGGGCGGCCAAACCAAAACATGGTAGAAATCCATGAAGTCATTGACTAGTGGACTTAGCCATGTCGGTAATTGTCGACTACCAAGTTGCGGTCCGCGAGATGATAATAATCGATGGTTAGAGACCTTGAATGACATGGCTCAAAATCGTTCGCAATGGCGCCGGTGCATTTATTCTTTGTGTTCTCTCAAACCCTAATCTTCTGGATTCGTCAACACCTCTACTTTTGTCTTTCTAAACCTATCTCACTGAATTATACTTCTTGAATAATATCTTCTAATCCTTACCTCTTCGACTACTTCTAATTCCCTTACTACCTCTTCTACTATTGGATTTGAATTGACAATTATATCTCTGTGCTGATGTGGTATGGCAACATGAAATGATGTACTTACGTACGAAGTTCTACGTTGCATCTGACTGACATCCCCTAATAACTCATATCTCCACGACCAACCCTTCTTTCAATCGTTTGTCACCTCGCGCCATTGAAGCAAACGGTTTGAAATCATGAAACGTTATTCCTGGTCTCGTGAAACCACGCTCTAAACTACGTATTGGAGCTTTTAATGTTCGAACCTCATGCCAAATAGGTTAACAGGCTTCATTGGCTACAACTCTCGAATCCCGAAATGTGCATACAAGATCCGAGTAAAATCATCAATTCTATTTCACCTTGTGCAGACAGAGAAACAACACAGTTTATGCTTCGTGTTTCTGGAAGCCCCGATGCCGCTCCCCGTGGCCTCGTTGGTGTAGGTATAGTACTAAGTCCTAGGGCAGAACTAGGTCTCTTAGACTGAATCCCGATAGACAGTCCCTTATGCTTTGTTTGACTAAACAGTACGGTACAGTCGCGGAAAGATAGGGACATTCGCCGTTGCCTCTTCGTCGTATCTGCCTACGCTCTCACTGACTGCAGTTTAGTCGACGTAAAGGATGAGTTTTACAGAATACTCTCTAACCTCCTTCAAAAGTTAAGTGCTGTGATGTAGTAATAATGGCTGGTGACTTTAATGTTCAAGTAGATAGACTAAGTGAAAACGAAAGACACCTGGGTGGATCTTATGGTGTCGCGGCTCAAAGAACAGATAATGGCGACCGTCTGCTCCAGCTGTGCCCAGATAACCGCTCGTTACTGGCAAACACTAACTTTAACTATAAGAAAAACATCTAACCAGGCAACCCCCCAAAGCCGAAACAATAATGGACCCAACTAGATCACATGTCTATAAGCCATCAGTGGAGAGGCTCTATTGAAAAATACCGCTCACTCTGGGGCACTTGTTTGGATTCAGACTGTGCTCTAGTGTGAGCGCGTATTAGTTTACGGCTTACTGGACGTAGGAAAGACATTGTAAGGAAACCTCTTAGGGTTCTACTTAACGATAGCAAAGCTATGAATATATTTCAGGAGCAACTACAAAAGACAGTTAGGCAGCCATGTAGTAGGCGATTCCTGTCCCGAGACAGCTTGGAATGATATCCAGAAAGTTTTGAAAACAGCAGTGATATCTTCCAGTAAAGTGAATGCTAAAGTTAGGTAGAAGAGGTGGATCTCAGTAGCATCTGCCGAACTGATAGACGCTCGGAAACTCATCCCGCGTGGCTCTGTACATGACGAAGGGCGAAGTCAGCTTATGCTCAGGCTGATAAAATGCCTAAACAATGATCACGAACAGTGGTCGGTAGCGAAAGCAAGAGCGATGAAAAAGACAGCGGTTATAAGTAACAGTGGACAGTTGTTCCGACTTATCAATCAATCAATAGCAACGTAGAACTTCGTACGTACGTACATCAGTTCATGTTGCCATGCTACATTAGCACAGAGATGTAATTGTCAATTCAAATCCAATAGTAGTAGAGGTATTAAAGGTATTAGCAGTAGTCAAAGACGTTAGGATTATATTATATTATTCAAGAAGTAGAATCTAGTGAAATAGACTTAAAAAGATAAAGTGATGAAGAAGTAAAAAGTTTGGGATTTGAGAGAATAAATGCACCTACGCCATTGCAAACGATTTTGAGGCATGTCGTTCAAGGTCTCTGATGAACGATTACTAACATCTCGCGGACCCTAACCAGGTAGTCGACACCTACTGACATGAATCAGTCCACTTCTCAGTGACTTCATGGATTTCTACCATGTTTTGGTCTGGCCACCACTAATTTTCTACCAACCTATTCCTACTCTACAAAGCAAAGCTCGTCGAGGCAGTCGGTGGTTAAGCATACACAGCACATGTCCCAACCACCTCAACTGATGAAGTTTCATTACTTCATCTATTGATCTGCCATCCTTGCCTAGTACTCGTTTCCTAACGACAGCATTGCTTACTCGGTTGTCCCACGGTATACGAGCAATGTTTCGAAGACACCTATGATCGAAAACCAGTAACCTACGAATATCTTCTACTCTCACTGGTCATGTTTCACGTCCATAAAGTAGGACGGAGCAAACTACTGCGCAGTACACTCGTCCTATGGTCAGTAAATAGATATCTCGCCTTCGTCATAAGTGACGCAGGTTGGCAAAAGCCAATCGAGCTTTCTGTATCCGAGCTGAGATTTCGTCAGTCACCAGGCCATCAGAACTGATGATAAGTGAAACGGTCAACTCCTATCACTAGTTCAAGTGCATTCGCAAGCAACATTTTGCATTTCGAGGGTGAGAACTGCATCCTGAACATGCTTGCATTGTTGCTTAGGGTATTCAGGAGACTCTGCATTTTGTCAGCGTCTTCACCAAGTAGAACTATGTCATCGGCATATTCTAAGTCAAAAAATGTGTCTCCTGGTACAAGGTCCACCACTGAAAAGTCAGACGAAGATAATGTTAACACTGAAAGCATGTCTATGACAAAGTTAAACAGGAATGGGGAGAGTGGAAATCCCAGACGGACACCACTTGAAGTAAAGAATTCAGGTGACAGTTCGCCATAGGCTCTCACTCGACCAGTGGTGTTCGATTAGAGAGCTTGTATAAGGTTAATGTACTTCTTTGGTACACCTTCCAATGATAAACACTGCCACAGAACCTCACGATCAACAGAGTGATATGCCGCCTTTAGGTCCAGGAAGGTCGGTAGCCTTGTAGTGTGCCCGATGGCTGCGTGTTCTTATAGCTCCGTTTATAAATCAGAAGATAAACTCCAAGTATCGTATACATTTATTCGAGGCACACCACATACAGACCGAGCAGATACACTAGCGAGCGAATATGCGAATGAGCGAAGCGAATTGGAGAAGGCTAGTGAGCCAACTCCAAGAGATAGATTATGACTAAGAATATATAGTCAGATAAGAATAAGACAGACATATGACAAGCGAAATAGATATGCACACACATGAATAAAAGCGACGAATGATTGACAAGGTCAAATGACAAGTGATACAAATCATGTGAGTTCATAGGGTTATTAAGAGATTAACATTAAAGCGAAAAGGATGAGTAAGTACGTAAGCGTAAGCAATGCTCAGTCGTATAAGCTAATACAAAGCAGATAATAAAAAATACCAATGGTACATATGAGTTGTTGCTATGCAAATAGCTTGGTTAAATAAATTAATCGAAAGGCTTAATCGAATTAAATGTAAGCGGATGCAAATAAATGTGGAGGCACTACAATAGCCCCCTTCCAGCAAACAAGGATACGAAAGTGTCTGTGTTTGCGAAAAAAAATCAAAATAGTCGGAATGCATCAAAAGGTACGAAAATTCAAGTTACCTTGTCCGAGTTCGTTCGTATGTTCGCATAGTAACAGAATATCAAAAAAATATGGTAAGCGGTTATTAGCAAAACAAAATCGATTTCGAATAGAATACATTAGGAGCAGTTGTACGATACGAAAATGTAATACAAATGCTGCAAAATATTTAATATCGTTTAGGCATGACAGTTAGGACGGAATTCGATAATCGTATAGACATTACGGTAAGGCTCATTGATAAATCGAGTGGCTGCAGATTGGTGAAGAAATTGCGGTCAAGATTATCGTGTAGAAAATTTGGAGAATAAAGCTGCGTACCAATGCGATGCATAAACATTAAATGCATATCGAGAACATAAGTTACCACCGCTGAGTATATGACTCCAAAATTATGTGTATGATAGCGTTGCAAACCGTTGCCAGCGTTAGGGTAGTCGAAAACATGCGAATATCATCGTGCATGAGGTTCGCTCGACTGCTTGAACTGCTGTTTCGTGTGCATGTGCGTAAGATCATACCACCAATTTACTTAGCAGGCTGCAAGATTTTCGAGTGCGAGTCCAGAACGGTGTTTCAGGAGACCAGGAATGACGTTTCGTGAACTCGAATCTTTTACATTAGCGGTGCAGTGAGATAAAGGAATGTGAGAAGAGTTAGTCGTGGATATAAGAGAGGTATGTGTGGGTGAAGGGAGGATTTGATTTCGACCAATTTGGTCTCGTGTGCTGTTACGGGTATAAGGGCGGTTGTCACTTCCCGGCTGCCAACAACGTGGAAGGTTGTTTCTTGAGGGACCTGAAAAGGAAGACAGATTAGTGTTGGTTTTTTTGAGTATTAGCTCCGCTCTTAAAAGCCCTTAGTGGGCACCATTACCGACGGAGACAGAAATCTGTGAGGTAGGGTAAGGTGTGATATTTTTAGGGTCCACCTTTCCTAACCCTTCCTTCCTTGTGAGAAGGCAACATCGCTGCAGATGCTGGTTGTCCGAGGGAAACACCTTACTGCTGTCACACCTCTCTGCAGTCAACAGTATGACTTCGCTCTCAGACCTTGATTTGGTGCTTTTAGTCTCATCGTTCTCCATTCAACCTGCTTGGCATGGTCGAACCTTCAAAAACATATGTTTCAGCCAATATAGCTCGGTTGGGTCGTCACAGTCAGCAAGCCCTACCACCACGTCAAGGTAGCAGCTACGGTCGGGTACCAAATTCCATGTTGTTACTGACTGATTGACTAACTGACAGCTGAATTTAAAATATTGAATCATATTGTTTGTTTACATTTTGTTAATTACAACGCTAAATACTTTTGTGCACATAAATAGCTTTTAAAATTAATCATCAGATAGCAACAGCTTAAAATGTGAATATCGTAACATAGTTAAAATTGTTTTGTTTTGTGGTATAAATTATAGATAATAGAGGGGTTTAATTGCAACAGGCTGGTATCAAAAATCGTCTATGTATAAAATCATCATGGTATGGAAATAATTATAGAAAGATGAGAAAATATTTACAAATATTTACTTTCTCATTTGTATTCAGTTGCCTAATTTTGTGTTACACTATCACTTTGAGGCTTATTTAGTTCAATAAACCGTTAGATCATATTATTTTTCACGATGTAGTCGAAAATCATGTGCATGCTGATTGATTATGTGAACCAAGTGTTGGTAATCTTTGTTAAAATGACTTTACTAGAAAGGTTTAAAAATATTGTTGAAAACTAGTAATTACATCAAATTTAAATGTAGTAAATTTACCTCTCAAAAATTTTATGAAATGTGTATTGGAGGAACGACTATTTTTCATTTATTATAGAATTCGGTTTCCTGATTTATGATACTATCTGTTAGTTGTTAAACTACGTGGTTCCTTGTATAATATGCAATATTGATACATATCATTTAATTTTACTTTGAATTATTTTTTCTACCTTTTCGAGCGGCGACCGCGTTATGCTGTTAGAGGTCCTGACCATAAAGAATTATACGGTTCCGATGACGAGGATACTTTACATGAAGAAGTTTTGTTCGATACAGACATGAGAGCTCAACTTCTGAGCAACACTGAACGAATATCTCGGACTACTACCAAATTAGGAGACGGTGTACGAATCGCTTTGGAAACAGAAGAAGTAGGTGGTCATATACTACAGGACTTAAGCGAGCAACGAGAGAAGCTTCAAAGAAGTAGAGATAGGGTGAGTCAGTTTAATTTTCAGTCAAATTTTATTGACCTCCATTATGATGATAATCGATCTATTTGATAGTTTAAATTGTTTCTAAACCTGTGATTTAGTATAGGTGTTAGTTCTAAGACAGTATACACATTTATTTGTCTAGACTGCCTTTTTCTAAGTAATGTGAAATAGTAGTGGAAGCTGGGTGTTAGTTACACTTTTTTTCGTAGTCAGAAGAGCTTAGTGTAACTCTATCACTACAGGTATTTTGAAATAAATTCATAATACTCTGTTGTTCGGATGAGTAGCACCACCTTTATATAATGTGAACACCTTTGATAATGAAACCACGTTGTCACACATCCCGTTTAAATAAGTTCACTATATTTGTAAGTGAAGTGATATAAATCTAACACCTTTAAAATTTACGATCAATCATTGGTAACGTAATCCAATAAACATAAGTATTATTTATCCAATGGCCCATTCCGTCTTTCATAATTTTTTTGTTTTGAATGATCCTTGATACTACTTCATGGATTTATTGATATAAACCGTCATTTGGCTAAGATCTTGAGAGGGATCCACGAGACGAAAGTCACCAATGGTTAGAGACCTTGAATGACATGGGTCAAAATCGTTTGCAATGGCTCGAGTGCTCTCTCAAATCCTAATCTTCTGGATTCGTTTGCACCCCTACCTTTGTCTTTCTAACCTTATCTCACTGAATTATACTTGAATAATATCTTCAAACCCTAGTCTTCTTCGTTACCATTAATACCTCTACTATCTCTATCACTATGGGATTTGATTTGACATTTGCGTCTCTGTGTTAATATGGTGTGGCAACATGAACTTATGTACATACGTACGAAGTTCAACGTTGCAACCGACTGAGTGAACAGAAGATTATTGGTGGTTTCCAATCTGTTACATTTTTTGTCGATTGATATTGAAAATGTATGCTAGTTACTAATTGGTAGTCAGAAGTCACACTATCTTTACGGTTTCATGCCGTTAAATAGTTTGTTACAGCTACTACATCAGAAACATTGTGGTATTTTTATACACAATCTTTCAATTTATTTTTACAGCTTCGTCAGGCAGATTCCGATCTGAAAAAGAGCTCCCAAATACTTGCAGTAATGACTCGCAGGTGAGTATCGTATTTTTAGTTTCAGCAAGTTATGAAAACTTCTATTTAGAGGCTAAAACTTTTTAGTAGTTACTAACTACTTAACATAAAACAATCATTTGACGTGTTTACCGACCAGTTTTTCTTCTGATAAATGACTGCATTATCTCATGACATTGTTCACATTGATGATCTCAATTTTTCATGAAGATAGTATTGAGACGCCCGACCTTAGCTGCTACTTTAACGTGGTGGTCGAGCTTGCCTATCGTGATAACACAGCCGAACTATATTGGCTGAAACATATGTTCCTGTAGGTTTTACCATGCCATGCAGGTTGAATGGAGAACGATGAGACTAAAAGCTCCAAATCAAGGTCTGAGAGCGAAGTCGTACTGTTGACTGTAGAGGGGTGTGACAGCAGTAAGATGTTTCCCTCGGACAACCAGCATCTGCAGCGATGCTGCCTTTTCACAAGGAATGAAGAGGTTATAAAAGGTCTATCCTAACTGTTAGGTTCGTCACTAGGTACGCTTGAAGCTATTACGGGTTCACCTCAGTCGATAAACGCGAACGAGGCAATTTATTAGCGTCCAGGCAGGCTACCTTGATCTCAAAACTGCAAAAGAGAAGTCTTGATAAGCGTAGAAAGTATATTCTACAAACAACCAGCGAGCACAATGTAGTCAAGCACATAACTCTCGTTTATTTATACATCATATAAACGTCCTTGGGACAGTCACAAAAATAGCACACAAAAATACACAGCAGTCAATCAGAGCCAAGGATTTTCCTAGTGGGAAATGAAATCTCAAGGTCAACTGATCAGCCCATGTTGGCAAACGTGATATCCAAAAAGGCATTTATCAAACGAGTTCTGGGGATCTAACGTCCCCAACACTAACACCTCACCTTTTTTTCATATTTGCCTACGTTCCCACTGACTGCAGTTCAGACGCGGTAAAAGATGAGTTACGCAAAAAGCCTTCAGAACTCCTCCAAAAAGCCAGGTGCTCTGATATGGTGGTAATGGTTGATGACTTTAATGCTCATGTAGTGTAAAGGAAAGACACTTAGGTGGATCTTAGTGTCGCGGCTAATCGAACAGATAATGGCGACCGTTTGCTGCAGCTCTGCTCAGATAAGCACCTATAGCTAGCAAATACTAACTTTAAGCGCAAGAAAAAAAATCTTTTGATATGGCAACTACCAAAGTCGTCCCACCGATGGACCCAACTAGATCACATCGCCATCAACCACCGATGGAGAGGTTCGATAGAGGACTGTCGCTCGTTCTGCAGCACATGATTAGATTTAGATCATGTTCCAGTGCTAGAGCGAAATTATTTACGGCTTGTTGTACATAGGAAAGGCACCACAAGACAAACTCTTAGCGTTCTACTTAATGTTAGCTTAGCCAATAATATATTTCAGGAGCAAATAGATCAAAAGAGTTAGGCAGCCATGTAAGTGATCCCAACCCCGAGGTAGCTTGGAACGATATCCAAAAGGCTGTGGAAACGGCAGTGATGTCTGCTAGTAAGGTAAACCGTAAAGTTAGGAATAAGCTGTGGATCTCAGTAGCATCTGTGTTACGCCTGCACGTAAACACGTCAACTTGACATGCTTGAACTATTACGAGTTTACCTAGTCGTAAAAACGAGAGCGAGGATCGAGGATCCGGCGACACGACATGCTACTCAAATCCGATTATCCCAACCCCCATATTTAGTTAAAATAAGAAGACGTGATATGAAGTAGGACCTGTATTCTACAAGCATCCAGAAAGTACGAAGTCCGAATCCAGAAGAGAATCAGGATCCAGGATTAGGGATCCGGAACCTGGTCCTGGTCATAAAACATTACAGATAATGCGTATTTATACATTTTGGTCGAATAGGAAACAGCATCGAAGTCTGTGACATTGACAGTTAAGACGACCAATAGGAAGCAAAATTTGAAGTGACATTGATAGTCAGGACAACCAATAAGGAACAACATTGGAGCACGTGACATCGATATCTAGAACGACCATAAAATTGACCAGTAGGAATTAACCGATAGGAATTGACCAGTAATTCTCTTAGGATATTGGGTGAATATCTTAACAATCTGCCGAACTGATAGACGCTCGGAAACTCATCAAGTCTGGCTCTGAACATGACGAAGAGTGAAGTCAGCTTAAGCGTAGGCTGATAAGAAGCGTACACAATGATCGCAAACAGTGGTGGGTTGCGGAAGCGGAAGTGATTCGAAAGGCAGCGATGATAGGTAACAGTAGACAGCTGTTCCGACTTACCAAGGAAACTGGTACTAGGAGTTCGACTGTGAGTGAGACTATCTCAGGAAAGGACGGTTGTATCATTCATTCTCAACCCAGAAGATTGGATCGATGGTCAGAACACTTCAGGGATCAATTCAACTGGCCTTCAGCCGCACTTCAGTTACCCACGATCTTCGGTCATCCTGTATGGCGAATTGAGGTAATCATCCGACAATTTATGAAGTTGAAAAAGCCATAGGAAATCTGAAGCGAGAGCTACAGGGCCTGGCGGTCTTACACCCGAAATGTTTAAGGATAGTGCTACATTTTTAGCAGTTAGATTGACTGAGATCTTAGGTAGAACTGGGCGTAATCCCATCCAACTGGTTTCAATGACTGATTGTCGCAGTCTACGAAAATGGACAGAAGTCCTATTGTGACAATCACAGAGGAACCAGTTTAACCAATATAGTGTCCAAATCATTGACCTCAATAATACTCCGAAGCCTAACTAGAGCTCGTGGAGTCCAGACTCGAGAAAACCAAGCTGGTTTTCTACCTGGACGTTGATGTACACCAGATATTCACACTGCGTCAGGTCCTGAAGCATAGACACACGTTCAATCGTCCCACAATAGATGTACTTCTCGACCTTGAAGCGACATTCCTCTCTGTCTGTCGTGAAATTTTATGGCAGGAAATGTCATTGGAAGGTGTACTAATGAAGTACATTAACCTTTTACAAGCTCTCTACTCGAACACCACTGGTCGAGTAAGAGCCTATGGCGAACTGTCACCTGAACTCTTTACTTCAAGTGGTGTCCGTCTGGGATGTCCAGTCTCTCCATTCTTAACTTTGTGATAGACATGCTCCTAGATATAACATTATCTTCGTCTGAATTTTCAGGAGTAGACCTTGTACCAGGAGGCTCACTTATTGACTTTGAATATGCCGATGACAGTTCTTTTCGGTGAAGAGGCTGAAAAAATGCAGTGTCTCCTGACTACCGTTAGCATGCTCGGGATGCGATTCTCCCTGTCGAACGCAAAATGTTGCTTCAGGATTGGCTTGTATCAGCACCTGAACTATTGATAGGGAGTGAAGCAGTTGAGCATGTTGACGGCTTCGCGCTGGGAGTCTCATCAATTCTGATGATCTGGTGAGTAACAAAATTTCAACGCAGATACAGATGGCTCGATTGGCTTTTACTAATTTGTGTCACTTATGGCGTTTATTTCGCCAGATTCTACTTCTTGAATAAATATCCTCGACCCCTAATCTTTCCGATTACTGCTGATACTTCTACCACCTCTAACCTCTATGGGAGTTGAATTGACAATTATATCTCTGTGCTAATGTGGTATGCCAACTTGAACTTATGTATGTACATACGAAGTTGTACGTTGTAACTAACTAACTGATCGAAATGACGTGACTGAAATAAGTAACGTGCACTCAAAAAATACATATACGTTATAATACGCGAGAAGCTTAGTTATTTTTCATCGTGTTGTGTACTTTTCCTCATCTGTGACCCTAGACTATTTTCTTTTTTACTATTTAGAATTCTTCAAAACAAATTCCTTCTTATCACTGTGATATTTTTAATGGTGCTAATATTTTTCCTAACAATATATTTGGTCACTCGTCGTGCCACATCACCCACAAACTCGTCTCCTGCAACAATAAACTCATCGCGTCCATGATAAGTGTTTGAAGGCACTCCTTTTTACACCTAAGCAGGTAAAGTGGTTTTAATCTACTCATAAATGTTTCATTTTGTTGTGCTCCGTTATAATGTATCTCATCGCAGTACCTTTTCTGTGAATTTGACCAAAACAGCTTTTTCTAAACGTTAAATGACAATTAATTGTAATTCCGAATACAAAGAATTCGTTTGTTGTTTATCGTCACTTTTTACTGAGTTTCTTCTGTGCTATATCTGATTTCTGTCACGATTAATTCTCCTACTTGATTTCAAAAACTTTGAAGGTATGTGTAGCTGTTGTATTTTTAACGTACTATAGTGATGAATGTACATATCCCATCTAGTATTTTAGAAAACATTTTAGAAAATTGTAGTTTTTAAGTCGTCGGGATTTACAATGCTAATATTTTCGATACATATATCTTTCAATGGACGTTCGTATTGAGTTGGGACGTCTTCCATTTTATCCAGAGTTAAACTTCCTTCAATTACACACCTAAAATGAAAAATCAATGTTTTAAAAAAGGCACTTGTGACATGTAAAACCTCTGACATCAAAGCTGGTTGAGTAAATTTGTGTATTTCGGTGATTTGTGATCAAGAAATATAGATATTTGTAAAAGAACAAAAGCATTAGCTGGTCAATTATAAAATAATTGAACTATCAACCGGTGTTTCAGTACAATAAGAAAATATCCATATAACGCACATATAGCATTCCAACTAATACATTTCAATGTACTACCTACTATCCAATGGCTTTTGTTTGGTTTTCAGAATCTTTATCATCCAGAATGATAAGGAACATATAAGTATATTGTGGATTCCTAGTGAAAGATTAAAATAATATGGGTTTCGTGAGCATAACGGATAAAATCACCTTAACATCTTGTACAAACACTAGAGCCTCTAATTGAGTAAATTGTTTAACAATGATTCCACTGAGTCCTTGTTGTTTACATAGTGTTCACGCCTAGTTTTTCGATTTTGGCATTTGAAAAATACCAAAGGACTTAGTCTAAGATTTGATTTTGATTTCGTGGAACAGACAATGTGGCGAAATTGTTTACTTGCATTCAACCGAGCGTTTTTAACAAGTTTCTAAGATACGGTAAACAATTAAAAGTTATAAGATAATAATAATAAAAAGACTAAGCACTATCCACATAAACGATTAGTTTATACTCACACCACAAAAGCTCGAAACCTTAAAATGTAATTGTACTTGTTGTTGCTACACATTTCTAAAATATCAGAACTTACCCAAATGCTACGTAACGGTTATCCATCCATTCAGCTGGTGCTAGTGTGATGAAAAACTGTGAACCATTAGTGTGACGTCCAGAATTAGCCATGCTGAGAATTCCGCGTCGATCATGTCGGATAATAAAGTTTTCATCTTAAAGATCAGATGTATAAGTTAAAACTTTTATTATTATCTGAGAGAAGAAATGACTACTGAAGCAACTGGCTAACCAGTAATAATTAGTATCTTGTTTTCTGGAGTTCGAGATATTGTACTAGGTACCTGATTGCAGTTTTTACGGAAATTAGAGTAGAAAGTCGCTTGAAAAAGTAAGATTTTTTGGATTCGGTCATGGTCGTCTCAAAATACCAGCATCCGATGGTCTATATCAAGTACATAGGTGTGTGATAAAATATAGTTTTCAAGACTTGAAATCACAGAAAACTTGATTACGTGATCCAGTTACTTAGATAAGGTTATTTGCACTCACTACTTATCGAAACATTTCAAACTTGAAAAGTATGACAAAAACTGTGCAGCGACCGTTTTCACCGTACATGAAAATGTGACAAGCTTCATAAATATTATAGTGTTGTGAGGCTACAGTACCGTGGACTCTATAGTCAACCATAAATTTAAGTATGTGCATTCAACTTAAGCACCCCATATTTCTATTCAGGCAGTTTCAAAGAAAATACCCTGGATAAGGCATAGTCATGCCTTTATGGAATTAATTGTATTTCATCCAAATACCTAATAAGCCTAACCTTGTATGATCAGTTAACTCAAATACCGTTATTAAGATTCCCCGCTGTGTTAAAGAGAAGTCAACACAAATTGCTAGGGAACTATGTATTCCAAATACACCTATCCACATACCGAGCTATATATATATATATATATATATATATATATCCTGAACAAAATACATATCTAATATGGTTAGATGAACATACATAAGCTTTCACACATGCGAAAATGTTTATGGGTAAGTGCTCACAATTATTAATATGAATAAATGTTATGTAATCACCGGCATTAAAATAACCCACCTGTTTGCATAGCTTATTGTAGCTATCCAAACTGATTTATACTTTCAAAGGTTTAGAATGTAGCTGTTAAACATCATTCCTGAAGTATGATCATTACTAACTCTGGTGTTTTACTAGGATAGTTTAAGATATTTGCGAAACTTTTCATAAATGCTCGTACCTCTCTGGTTGCGTATGGAATTTAAATATGTTGAAGCTCAGCAAACAAATGGAAGTGCATAATACTGTAGTGAGTTAAATTATAGACGGTTAACACATGACTTTCTCCCTTGATTATTTTTAAGAAACCATGGAAGGGTATTCAAAGTAATCTGTTTAACTCAGAAAACAACAATCACTGATTCCTCCTAGTCTGAATATAATAAAAGAATAGTATTGCAAATTTTTATATTGTCTATCTAAGTGTATGCAACCACTAATTAGCTAAATATGTTAGATGGGAGATTAAAATATTCTAATCACGTGGGTTTCACCTTATATGTTCCGAGCTTGCATATAGTAACGACCCAACCAAGCTATACGGGCTCAGAGACATGTTCCTTTAGATAATAGGGAGCTGAATTGACAATTGCATCTCTGTGCTAATGTGGTGTGGCAACTTGAACTGATGTACGTACCTACGAAGTTCTATGTTGTTGTTGACTTGACTGACTTGTTTCCGAATGCTGTCATCTACTTTGACTAATAGTGTCACAGACCATGTATGCTTCCATATCACCTAATCTTCAAATTGTGAATGGGCTAATGATCTTTCTTCTTTCAGATCTGTTCCTTCCTCAAGGTTTCAGCATATGCAACTGGTTCTGGATGGCTAGTTTAGTAGTTGTGTTAATAAACATCTTAACCAACCTTAAATCGATTGTAGCTGCTACGTGGTGGTAGAGTTCGCATATAGTGACGGCCCAACCAAGCTATACTGTCTGGGACACATGTCCCTTTAGGTCCTACTATACCTGGCAGGTCGACTGGAGAACGATAAGACTAAAAGCAGCAACCTTAAGTCTGAGAGCCAAGTCATACCGCTGACTGTAAAGGGGTTTGACAGCTGTACGGTGTTAGTCAGTCAATTACAATGTATAACTTTGTACGCACGCACATCAGTTCATGTTGCCATACCACATTAGCACGCAATTGTCAATTAAAATCCCATAGTAGTAGAGATAGTAGAAGAATCACTGCTAATGGAGAAGGTTAGGACTTGAAGATAATATTCTAGAATTAAAATTCGGTGAGATAAGTAAGATTAGGTGTTAACCTCGAAAAATCAGCATCTGCAACAATGCTGCCTTCGCACAAGGAAGAGGTTATAAAATGTCGACCATAACAACGTCACACCTCACCTTACCCCACGGATTTCCGTCTTCTGTGGTAGAGCTTTTTAAAGAACGAATCTAACACTTCAGAAACATCCCTCTTAGTCTCTGCGGTGACTCCCCGAAAGTCAACTCAACGCTGGACCGAACTAGACCACATTGCTATCAGTCACCAATTGAGAAGCTCGACAAGAGGCTGTCGCTCATTCTGGAGCACATGTTTAGATTCTGATCATACTCTAATACGAACGCGGATTTGTCTGAGGCTTATCGGACGTAAAAAAGACGTAACAATGAAACATCTTAGATTTCTACATAACGACAAAAATTCAGAAAATCTCAGGAGCAACTAGAAAATCAGTTAGGCAGCCATATGAGTGATGTCCATCCCAAGGCGGCTAGAAACGATATCCAAAAATCTATGGAAACAGCAGTGATATCTACAAGTAATCCAAACAATCAGGTTATGGAGAAGCAGCAGATTTCAGTAGTGTCTACCAAATAGATAGATGCACGGAGGCTCATTCCGTCTGACTCCAAACATGAAGAGCGGGGGTTGAAGCGCAGGTTGATAAGCAACCGAAGCAATGATTGCGAGCAGTGGTGGGTAGCGAAAGCAAGAGATGGAAAAGGCAGCGGCATTAGGTGACAGTAGACAACTATTCAGACTTAGTAGGGAGACTAGTATTGGAAATTCGACTGTCAGTGAAGCTATCTCAGAAAAGGATGGGACTATTGTTCATTCTAAATCCAGGAGATTGGATCGATGGGTAAAACACTGTTGCGATCAGTTCAACAGGCTTTCAGCTACACTTCGGTTACCCATAATCAACCTGAATGGGAAGTTTATGTAACCCTGCTCTAAACTGCACGTTGGAGCTTTTAATACCCGAACACCGTGCCTTATAGGAAAACACGTTTCTTTAGCTAGGACTTCAGAACTAGCACTACTAGACCTTATTTCATTAGACAATCGTCTGTGCTCTGGCCGTTAGCCACATTTCGGTTACTCACCATCTCTCTTTCTTGAGTGGCAAGTCGATGTAATTCATCCAACTCGTAACGAGGTGTCAAAGCTATAAGAAATCTAAGGTTAAGGAGGGCAGCGGGTCTTGACAGGTTAACCCTTGAGAGTCTTAATGATAGTGGTCCGTTTTTGGCAGTGAGATTGACTGAGATCTTAGGTGGAACCTGGGAACTGGGCAAAATCCCATCTGACTGGTCTCAATCACTGATTGTCCCAGTCTACGAAAAACGACAAAAGTTGTTCTGTGACAATCACAGAGGAATCAGTTTAACTAATATAGTGCCTAAATTATTGACCTCAATAATACTTCAACGCCTAACTAGAGTTCATGAAAAGGAGACTCGAGACAATCAGGGTGGTTTCAGATTTGGACGTATATGTGTAGACCAAATGTTCTCACTTCGTAGGTCCTATAGCGTAGATATACATTTCGACATCGGACAATAGATGTGTTCCTTAACCATCAGGTGGCATTCGACTCTGTAGGTCGTAAGGCTCCATGGTGTCGTCCGTCATTGATAGGTGTACCAAAGAAGCGTATTAACCTTATAAAAAATCTTGTCATGAGCATTGTCTTTTAGAGTTATCACTCTCATCGTCTGACTTCTCAGTGTTTGACCTTCTACCAGGAAATTCACTCGTTGATTTAGAATATGCCGATGACACAATCCCGTTTGACGAAGATGCTAAAAAATGTTAAGTCTTCTGGCCACCTCAAACAACGATGCGAACATGTTCGGGATGTGTTACATATGCCCAAGCACCGACTACTTGGACGAGCAATGTTTTCTGATGTAGGGGTAGTCTGAAAGAAAAGTAGGGTCGGTCAAAACAAAACATGATCCCAGTCAGCGAAGTCATTGATAGTTAGATTGAGCCTTGTTAATGATTTTAGACTACCTGTTTGTGATCTGTGTGGTAATCGTAGCCGTTGCTCAGGGACTTTGAATGGCATTGCTCAACATCGTTTGTGATGGTGCTGATGCATCCATTCTTTGTCCTCTCTCGAATTCCAATCTTCTTATTGCTCATGATCGTTTTTATCTCATATCTCCGAGCCCTAATCTTTTGCATTGCTGCTAATACCTCTTCAACCTCTGCCACTATGGGATTATTGTTGTTCAGACTAGTAATTTAGAAAAACTTTGATAGCCGAGTTATTCTTCCTGTCTACTGCAATAAAGTTCTGTTTAATAGGGCTAAAAATGTTTTGATGAGAATGGCGACGAGTTAATGTGTGGGGAGGTTAGTATTTACTGTATGGAATTTGATTACCTTCAAATACTGGACCGTAAATCGAATGACCATCATTTCCTCTGTTGTATAAAATATCTAAAACAAATTATATTTTGTAGCCATTGTACCTCCTCCCTGAATCCATCCATTTTTTACCAGACGGAAAAACTTTGTGCCCTTATAATTCATTTTATATTCTTCTACCTCGTTCTTTTTAGTCACTCCACGTTCTCCAGAACACAGTGCCCGGAAATTTTCACATGTTTTTGGCAAGAGATCAGAGTATAACTAACATTTTGACTTACAAACAAATCATTTTACCTCAAGAAGTAAAACGCCACAGTTTTCCCCATCAATTGATATGCTCATAGAAACATGTATTCTCTGAATAGTCATAGAGTAATTATTCAATATTTTGTGCCGGATATCGACCCTACATTAGAATATAGAAGCTTCTTTTGATAGGCGTCCAGTGCTAATG